TGCTTTTCCAGGCCATAAGAAGAACTGGATTGGAAGAGGAGCAGCCAGAAAAAGTGCACATATGGGATGCTGACACCACAGGGTGGAGGATTGGTCTACTGAGCCATGGCATCAGACCATTGGCATCCATTTTCTAATCTTTCTTAGTTAGGTTCAATTTACTTGAAAGAGTGAGACAGGGAAAGATCATCTACTGGGTCACTCTCCAGATGTGCCATAGCTTAGAACTTGGAATTGAGGCAGGTCTTCACTGTGGGCTACAGGGACTCAGGACCTGAGCATCAGCAGCTGCTCCCACGATTCGCATCAGCAGAAACAGAATCAGCAGTGGAGCAGGAACTCAACCCCCAGGCTTCCTGACATCATATGCAGGTCTCCCAAGCAGTGTGCTAGCTGCTCAGCCAAACACCTGCCCCAAATCATCTGCTTGAATTTGTATTTATTTCAGAGACAGGAAAACGGGAGAAACAGATCCATCCTCTCACTCCTCAAATGTTTATAATCACCAGACCTCGGTTAGGTTAAAACCAGGAGTTGGGGACCCCAAACAGGCCTCCTGGGGCCCTTGTCAGCAGGAAGTCGCAGCAAGGAGGTGGGGCTGGGTATCAAACCCTGGAACTCTGGTTTGGGGCTTGGGCATCCTAAACTGCATAGTAACACCTGCCACCAGGAGAATTTGAAAAGCAAATTGCCACCTCAAACTCGACTTGGGTTTTTCCTTAAAGGTAACGCTCTAAAGGGCCGTGCTTTCTCTAGCTCTGTGTCATTTTTTTTTCTATAATACTATTCTCTACAGACTTATCCTCACTGAATACTTGGATTACTGATAAGTAATATTAAATAAGCTCCATTTACATTAATAAGCATCTCATCTCAAAAGCTGTTCCCTTGGTCCCCCACAACTAATTCTCTAAAAACAAACATAAAGTAATTTTAAAATTAGGAACCTCAGGGTCCATTTGTACTGCATTATAGCAGAAGATAGAGTATTCTAGAAGCTATCAACACTTGTTCAAACACTGCAAACACAAAATGTAAAGTGGCTGACCATTTTGCATGATAGTGATTTTTAAATTATAAAAAATTATGCCCTTCCATACAGTTTAATTGAATTTCAACGTATTTCTTGTGATATCAGTAATGAAAAGTGAACTGAGAAAAATGCATGAAAATTTAATTCAGTGGAAATAAAACCAAGTTCATGCCATGATTCCTCTCTGATTGTTAGAAAGTAATCAAATAAATTAGTTTCTGCACCTGTCAATACAGCTCCCTTTCCAAAGTCATTGCTCTTCAACAGATAACTCTAGGAAAACCTACTACATTAAATGCATAAAAATTTAAGCAGGATCTTTTAAAAACAATTTCACCATGCTAAATAAATTTACAGATATCAAAATACCTTTAAAACCGAAGTTCTAATTTAAAGATACACATTTTCAGGTGACTCACAATGAAGTAATCCTGTGTTTCAATGGATAAGTGCTCTGGCCTGATCACATGAAGTAGTGTAAGTTCGTTATGAACATGACAGCTAAAGGCCAATTCAGGTACCACGGACTTGGTGACTCGGAGATATCTTCACAACTGGGTCCCAGGGCAGGCAAAAAGATGCTGAAATGCAGATTAGCATATAAGAAGTTTATTATAACAAGTGCCTGTGGAGGCCAGAAGGAAAGTAGGATTGGAGGAAAACATGTTTAACTGAGATGTGGTGATTGCAAAGGCCTTTGCTAATCTATTAGGAAGCTCTGGAGCTGGAACTATCTTTCCAACCTCTGCAGCAACAAACCAGCTCTGAGATGTAGAATGCCCCCCAGGAAGGAAGTAAACTTGGTCAAGGCAGCTCTCACTAGCTGATGGCTAGTCTCAATCAGGGTTCCCTCGAGCCAGACCCCTGCAGCTAGTAGCTAAGGCAATGAGTGTGTCAGTCTGAGCACTGCACACCGCTTTCTCATCCTGTTGGCATTCACTTGCTTCTTATGGCCAGTTCTGGAAGTGTCCCCCAGGATTCTACTGCATGCGTTTCCCAGAGTAAAATCGAGTGAAGAAACTCCAGTTCTGCAGCTGGTCTCAGGGCCACACTAGCACTCAGCACCGTTACCTTTTGGGCTTCTGACCAGTAGTCCACAAGTGCCAAGGTCTTTGGAAGCAAGGAAAGTAGAAACTTGGATATCCAAGAGGAGTTCAAAGGGAAACAATGACTAAATGCAACATGGTGTCCTGGGTAGGATTAGGAAATACAAGAAAAGTGAGGTTAAAAACTACAGATACTTGAATGAACTATGGACTTTAGTTAACAATGAGGTCTCAGCATCAGCTCACCAGACGTGACAAAAGTATGATATTAAGCTTGGTTGATGTACACAGGAACTCTGTACAATCTGGAATTTTTTCTATAAATAAAAATGAATCTAAAACTAAAATACTTTTTTTTTTTTTAATTTTAAAGGCAGAGTTGCAGAGAGAAGGAGAAGCAGGGAGAGATCTTACACCTGCTGGTTCACTCCACAAATGGCTGCATTCCCCAGAGCTGAGCCAATCTGAAACCCGAAGCTTTCTCCAGATCTCCCACATGGGTTCAGGGGACCAAGGACTTGAGCCATCCTCTGCTGCTTCTTCAGGTCATAAGCTGTGAGCTAGATCGTGTGTGGAGCAGCTGAATACAAAACGGGTTCTCACATGGGATGCTGGTGCTACAAGCAGAGGATTAATCTACAATACCACAGCTCTTTCGCTTAAAAGTTATTTTTAAGGTCATAGGGAAAAAGTTTAAATTGGGGTCTGGTGTGATGGCTCAATAGTTAATCCTTGCCTTGCAAGCACCAGGATCCCATGTGGGCACCAGCTTGTGTTCTGGCTGCTCCACTTCCCATATCTCTCTGCTTCTTGCCTGTTAAAGCAGCAGATGTTGGCCCAAAGCCTTGGGACCCTGCTCCTGAATGGGAGAACCAGAAAAAGCTTCTGGCTCCTGGCTTCAGATCAGCTCAGCTCCAGCCATTGTGGCCATTTGGGGAGTGAACCAGCAGTTCTTTTTCTCTGTCTCTCCTCTCTGTAAATCTTATTTTCCAATAAAAATAAATAAAACTTTTTTAAAAATAAAAGGTTTAAATTGTTGGATTTAACCTTATAACTCAGTGAGTCTAACAAGTCTTATTCATGATGAGTAGATTTTGCCAAATGATTACCTGAATTCCCATGGGCAGATGTTGTATCTCCCCTAGAACCTAGCAGCACGCCAAAACTGGTTTCTCTGTTTGTTTTCAAATGACGTGCAATTGCCCCTGAAAATGACATGGCCTTGCTTCAGAACCCTACCGTTATTTTTGTCATTCTCTCATTGGGTTTTCTAAGAAAAAAAAAATCCATTTAGGATCTTTCCTCCTCACCGGGATGTTTAATATGACAGGTTCTTAAGGTCCCATGCTGTGTCAGTTCTACTTGGCTGTGGGCTGGATTTGCTTGGGAATACTTTCCTGCCTCGACCTCACTTAGAACTGGCAGCTTTCCATGGCACCGAGCCACATGGGCTGCAGCAGTATCCCCAAATGAAGAGTATGAAGAGACCTACCAAGCGCTCTGCTGTTTCTCAGGGATGGGAGGTGTGAAATGCCATGATTTCATGTTTTCTTTGGAGGGGTTTTACAATGTGCACCAGACCACAGTAACCCCCAAATCTTCACTGATGTACCATGACCCTGAGAGGTCATAGGACTTAGAATCTATTCTCTGAGTGCCCCTCCCTTGCCACATTACTCATCTGACCTGATGCCAGTGATAGAATCAATGTGATAGTCTGTAGAATGTCCTGTTGCCACAGGTTCTTTAGATCGTATTATAAGAGGACTGCAGGATTTACAAAGTTCTGGAGCTATATTTATATCTAGTTACCCAACATAAATGTATACTTTTGTCCATTCTAAGTGAATAGCTTCTGATCTATCATTCTTTTATAAAGTCTTAATTTATGTATATTTTAGAGGTAGAGAAGTAGAGAGACAGGGAGAGCCCCCATTGACTCATTGATTCCCCAAATGCCTGCAACAACTGGAGCTGGGGCAGGCTGAAGCCAGGAGCCAGGAATTTCTGGATTCCCTAGCAATTCCAAATATTTTAATAATCAAAAATGCATCTGATCTTCCCCATTCATTACAAAAATAACATCTTTGGTAATAATTTATACTCCTTAGCTGCAAACAAACCCATCTATTTTGACAACAACAACAAAAAATGCAAAAAGACAATGAATTCTGAGTATAGAAATAAAACAATGTGACATTCTAAGATTTTCTGATCATTTTATTTGTTTCATTTTCATATTCTTATTTCCCAAAAGCCTGCAGAAGTGAGGAAATCCGTCAGCAGGTTAATCTGAAACAGCATTAGACAGACAAGGACTAAGCACTAAACAGAAAAAACAAAACTCCAGTTAACTCAGCTTTAGGTGGAATTTTTCCTAAGATAGGTCAGTTAGATTGGCCTGCAAATAAAAATAAATAAAAATAAAAAGGTCTGCATTGTATTAACACATGGGTATCATCAATCTCTTCTACCAGAAAAGCTATTCAGGGTAGGAAATTTTTCAACTCACAGTCCCCACGGACAGACTAAATACAAGTTAGCTTTAAACCTGAAGTCAGAAGGACAACATTTGTAAAAATAAAAAAATATTTCTATTGCTCTCAACAATCTATTGACAAGCTCAACCAGTCCTGAAAGTCAGTAAAATGAGCCAGGATCTTGGCAAGCTCCTTGCTCAAGCAGCAAGCACCTTGTGCCACTCTCCTTCTCCATGCGTGACAGAAGCAAGCTGCACGGATAGCAGGGCCCCATTCTGACCACTATCTCCAACATGGACAAAAGTTCAGCAAAATCCTCCTTCCAGGCAGGCTTGTTTGCATGGCTCCAAGTCTACAAGAGAGATCCCTGAGCAGATGCAACTCTCAGACAGTGAACTGGAAACAGATTAAAGACACGAAGGAAATGGAGGCCGTGTTTCCATTTGTAGATGTTATCCCAGATAAAATCTGAAGGGCTTTCAGACCAGAAATGGATAATGTGCAAAAATGAGGTAACTAGACATTAATAGCATGGGGAATTTACAATGTATGTACCAGGATGAAGACAGAATGTCTTACAGGCAGCCTCAAGCAGCTCCACTGAGGAGTCCTACTTGAAATTCACATCCAAGCAGTATGTGTAGACGTTGCCATTCTCTGCTACCTCTGCTTCTGAATCATTACAGCTGATACTAAAAGTGATACCGTGACACATTCCAGGGTTCTCCCAATCAGAGGTTATATGACGGCTGTTGCTGGGGATTGGTCCATATTTCACAATCATTTTAAAATTGGTAGCCTATGTTGGGTTCAATTGATCCTATTTTATTATTAATTAGAACAACCCACTTTCCCAACAGGATTAATTATTGGAGCCTATTGCACAATTCCAACTGGGACAATGGACTTTTGGAACTTCCACATCTGTAATGAACAATCTCATTGCCCAGCTTGCCTGTTAGATGTAAGTCTGCCAGGCCACAGTGTAACCAGAGCGTTTCACGGAGTAGGGTCTTCAGGAAGGCCTCGCACATTTGCAGGATTCAGAAGCATTTTTCACTTAGCCAGCCCTGTCCTTGTTCACTCTCTTCAACACAGTTGTCCCATTTGTATGGCTGTTGAATCGCAATGGAAGAACTGCCATTCTTCCTCTGAGCATTCCTTTAGGGACTTGGAAATGGACAATAGTGCATTCCTTTCCGGCCATCTGCCAGGCAAGGGACCCCAGGCTTCTTGGGGTAAGCCTGACTGGCAATTTTAAAGAATTCTTCTGCAGCATCAAGAGTAATGAGACGATCCTGCCAAATTACAAAAAAAGAAAGAAAAGAAAAAAATGAGGTCAAGCTGGAATCCAAGCCATGCCTGCAGGAAAATCAAACTGGCAACAAAATCCACTCAAAAATTATTAGTAAGTACAACACGTCAAATTTTAGTCCACAAACTTAAGAGACATAATCTTAGTTATCCAAGAAATGACTCAACACTCTCACAGTCCTTCCGAATGACTCCTCAAACTTAGGTTCTATAAGCAACATTTGTCACGTCTTTGAGAGATAAAGGGTTCAAAAATTTGACTGCACAGCAGAATCAGTGGGAAGACACAGACTTGAGCCAAGTTTCAGCAGTTTAGCTATGAACCAGACTTGAGTGAATGAAAGCTCTTCATTCAGCTCCAGTTATTGCAGGCCTCCTGAAAGCCAATGTAGACAATGCCAGCTTTAAGGCCCACCTCACCCTGCAGGGGTGCTGGCCATGGTAGAATGAGGAGGACAAGGGATGAGTGAGAAGGCAAAGACATCCAGCAAAACCACAGCAGGTACAGAAAGATGCCTACTTACCACAACAAAGAGGTATCTTTCTGAGAGTTCCCAACTGGTTGGGAAAATGTTGGTCTCTTCAGCCAGTTTTAACAGCATCTCTCGAGCCTTCCTGGTGTTTTTGGAATCACTGAGGGTGCTGAGTTTGGTCACAGACAACAGAGAGTCTGCTTCCTTTTGAAAACCTAAGGTAGATAAATGTATGCCCTGTGTGAAATCATCATCAGGAAATGACTGCCAGGATCAGTGTTGCATAGCGAGTTAAGCAGCCCCCTGCCATGCCAGGATCTCAGTGCTATTTGGTTCAAGTCCTGGCCACTCCACTTCTGATCCAACACTCTACTAATGCCTGGGAAGGCAGTGGAAAATGGCTCAGGTGCTTGGGTTCCTGTCACCCATAAGGGAGACCTGGATGAAGCTCTAGGTTCCCAGCTTTGGCCCAGCCCAGCCTGGCCATTGTAGCTATCTAGCAAGCACATGGAAAACCCCCTTTCTCTCTCTCCCTTCCCCCCTCCCTCCTTCTTTTCTTTCCTTCCCCAATCCCTCCCTCTATTTAATATTTTCTATTGCTTTCCACAATATATTTTTGTCTCCTGTTTTTTAACTCTACCTTTCAAATAAAATCAACAAATAAATCTTTTTTTTAAAAAAAGGGGGAATGACTGTCCTACAATATGATCAGTGCAGGAGATTAAGAAAGGACCTAGGGGCTGGTGTTCGCACAGTGGTTGAGTGGCTCACATCCCAGTGCCTGTATTAAGAGAGCCTGAGTTCAAGTCTGACTCCCAACTCCAGCTTCCTGCTTATGTTCAGCTTGAGAGGCAGTAAGTGAGGGCTCAGGTACCTGGGATTCTCTGCCCAGAGGCCTGGCCTGAGTTCCTGCTGCTCTGAGCCAAGGAGTGAGCCCCCTCCCTCCCATCTACAAATAAATACATTTCTATAAAATAGGAAGGGGCCCCAATATGGATTCTGCTCAAATCTCAGAAAACTGAAGCCCAAGCCAGTGCTGCATGCACTGTTCCGGCTCAATGTGACTGACAGACTCTTTCATTAATATTCCTTTGATGTTTCTTCTCATTGAATTTTCTTTATAAATTTTCCCTAAGAGTTCAGCCTCAGACACTCACACAGCCTGCTTGCTGACTTGTTTTTTAATCAAAGTCCCTTTCCCAGTCTTCCCTACTCTTCACCTCCTCTCCGATCTACAGCATTCCCTAACCTGTAAAATGGTTGCCTCCAAGTCCCTACATCACTAAGCTTAGGGCTCCTTCCAGTTGGCTGGGCAAGCTTTTCTACTGAAAGACAGAAGAGACCGGGATAGCTGACACGGTAAAAAGGCTCACATAAATATTGGATGAATACTGAGTGAGATCCAACCGCACCCCAAGTAAGCAACAGGGACGAGGGCCTAGCACCCCACTTTTGAGAAATTACCAGAGTAGGAAACATGGCCTTTCAAAGTAGAAGGGTTGAGGGTTCTGAACGTGACAAATTTACTTTGAAAAAAAAAAATTAGAAGAAGCTTGTTTTGTGATATTTATTTATCACAACCCTGAGAAGTTTTGACCCCCCATGCCACAGGATTTTTTTTCTTCCCAGCCTTGAAGCTTTTCTTTTATTTCTGAGAATTTTGCTGTTTGATGCCAACAGTATTTCTTCCAAGCAGCTTCATTTTCTAAAGCTACCATCAACGGGTCATCACCATGCTCTGATTTAACCACCCCATAATGCCAGAAGAGTAAATACCATGCCCATGTGACTTCCCTGCCCTGTATTGCCCTGTTCTGAGGACAGGTGTAGGAGCTCATGGCAGAATACATCATCAAGACGTGGGCTGGTGACAACAGAAAGACCAGACAGCTACGCTTGAGCACATTACAGCAGGACCAGGCAAACCTGAGCGCACAGTGGCCTTCCTCATTATTAACACAACCTTCCTAAACCCACAATGGAGAAAGTGAAGTGACCACAACTCTTTCCTCTTGCCATTTCACCGTGTTTTCACAACTTACCCAAGTCTTCTAAAATGCGTTTCCACCTGTTTCTCACTTCCCTTCGAATCTGCCGCAAGGAATAGATGTCATAGTTGAGTTTCTGCCACTCCTGTAAGGAAAATAAAAATCTGGTTGTATTTTTCCTTTTAGCCCAAATCTCCAACTCATTCCTAAAACACACATTGCTTAAGCAATGTGATTCTCCACTTCACTAATTTCCAGAGCACGTCAACAAGAGAAGGGATCGAATGAGATGGAGTCATGGGGAACGCTACCAGTTGGCATTTCTGGAGAATCCAAACCAGGTGAATTGGCACTACATGCAAGCTGTCACTCAAACCCTTCACATTACATGTTCTAGCAACTGCACAGGTCTCCTCTGTAAATAATATTAATAATGATAAATAGTCTATTTACGACTGGCCTAACAGTTAAGCCACCAGAGCCCAGGTTCCAGTGCCAGCTCCATTCCCAATACCAGCTTCTTGCTAATGTTCACCCTGGGAGGCAGCCAATGATGGATGGCTCAAATTCTTGGGTCTCTGCCACCCAGATGGAAGACCTGGATTGAGTTTTTGGCTCCTGGCTTCAGCCTGATCCAGTACCAGGTGTGGTGGACACTAAGGAACAGGACCAGAGGATGCGAGTGTGCTCTTTCTCTTTTGTGTGTGTGTATGTTTTTCAAATTAATACAAATTCCCCCCAAAAGGATGCCATAAATATTTAAAGTAAATTAAGCATAATACCTGCACACAGTGAACACCTATAAAGCCATTTTATAAATGAAAAAACTGATACACAAATATCCTACTGATGGAACCAATATCATCCAGATAACAGATAGGAGAATCGGTATTACTGGGTGTGGGGAGCCGTGCAGTTGGGTCGGATGGCATGTGTGTGTGATGAGCACCGCTCCTCAGCAAGGCTGCGAGGAGTTTCTAGCTGCGTGGCAAGGCCCGGCAGAATGTCTCTGGTCACCTCATTGCTGCCTCACCCATTGTATGGAACTCAATCACCTCTCTGATGTTTCATAGAATTCTTCTGAGGGTGTTGTTGTTGTTTTTCTGCTAATGTGAAGTGATTCCTGTAACTGGTATGACACCTCAAATTGATCAATCATGTTATGATAAAAACACCATTAGTAATGGTAAACAGCTAAAAGTATACAATAGTACAATTGAGCCCACTATGTTTCCAAACATCCTGTTATGTGCCCACTTTTGTCCTGAAGTTTGTCCTAGTATAAGTAATGTTTTCCTTAAGAAATGGCTTGATAATATCTTGCAACAGATGGCAATCATGAAGGTACAAAGAGTTTGTTTACCATGCACCTCGAACCATTACAACACATGATATGACGCATTTTAGTTTCTTCCCACAGAAAGCAAGAGTATATGGGGCATCTTTTATAAGGAAATAGATGTGAACCCCCTCAAAATGGCTTAAAATCTCAATCTTACATTGGCACTTATATTTAGGGAAAGAAAACAGTTTATAAAGATAAAAGAAAGTTTCTTGTAAAAGCCCTCTGTTTGTAGATTGGCTGAATTGCCTTGATCCCTTTCACTGCCCTTTAACAAAAGAATGAAAAACAATTGAATCAGCACTAGGTGAAGGTGACGGTAATTAATGTATGATTCGATTATAAGATTTAGCAAAGGATCTATGTTACATGCTTTTATGATATCCTTTCATTTATGATCTTTTAATTCTGTATTCTTAACATTTCAAGCAATATTAGTTCATGTTTAGTAAAAATTGATTTTGAGTATAAGTAAACCACTTGTCACTGTGTAACCACATGCGCTGCCAACCCTGGAGGTCCTGGCTTCAGCCAGGTAACTGCAGGTTTCAATGAATGATGGTTTGTTGAAAATATTTTCCTTAGGATTGTTTTTTGTATTCTCTTAAACATGAAGTAAAAATGAAACAATTGGATATTGTGCAAAAGCTTCTGATGATTTGTGTATAAATAAAGAAGGCAAATTTTCTGAGTTGTCCATTATGAGCATCATGCCATAGTGGTCCGTGTCTTATCTCTTCCTATCATCTCACCGATTCAGGCATCCTTTGCAAGCTCTCAGTCAGCTGGAGCTGGTCTCCGGCAACTGGGAGTCATTGTCCCAAGTTCATGAGCAAACTGATACACAAATCATCTACGCCTCCTTCTGACTGACTCCATGCTGATATTCTTCCATCATATCTCAGCACTGTAATCTAAGACCGAGTTTCTGGCTCCAAATTTCAGCCTGATTCAGTTCCAGATGCTGTGGGCATTTAGGGAGTGAACCAGTGGATGGAAGATCTCTCTCTTCTCAATCTCTCCATAACTCTGCTTTGGAATATTTTTAAAGGGACCTTATCTACATATAACAATCATTTTATGCAATAAACTTTTTCCTCTTTCTTAATAAAGACAATAACCATACAGTTAATATATAAAGCACAACTTCAAAGAACATCATTTCATTAAGATTTTTTTTTCAATTGGAAATGCAGAGCTGCATAGAGAAGCAGAGACAAAGATCTGTCTGCTGGTTCATTCCCCAAAGGGCCACAATGGCTGGAGCTGAACCAATCTAAAATCAGGAGCCAGGAGACTCCTCACGGTCTCCCACACAGGTGGAGAGTCCCAAGAGTTTGGGTCATTTTCAACTGCTTTCCAAGGCCACAAGCAGGAAGCTGGTGGTGGGACATGAACCGGCACCATATGGGATTCTGGCACTTGAAGGGGGAGGATTAGCCAATCAAGCCATTGTGCCAACCCCAAAGAATATCATTTTAAATGCTCAATTTAAAACTCAAACTATGATAGCTTGACTCCTCTCACAGAAAATGTTTCAAGGATGTCATTATTTTCTATGTTCTTTTCATAACTTGTCTTGCTCGTTGCTAATCAACTTTCATGATTTCATAAGAAAAAACAAGTTGGCTGCCATTCACAAATGTTTTTAAGAAACCACTTTGAAAAATAAATGCTAGTTAATTAGAACATGTTTTGCTGTGACTGCATCTTAGATCTTTCATCTGATGATAGGCATGAAAGTGCATGGGTTTTCCTTCACTGTGTTCTCAAAGTCAGGAAGCAGAGACTTCCTTGTACTAATTATTATCATTATCATTATCATTATCATCATCATGATTATAATTATTATTTTGAGCAAAGGCATGTACACCCATGCGTGTGCACAAGTGTAGTGTTTGTGGTCAGGGGCAAAGTCCTTGGACAAAGTTAATTGAATCATATCAGAGCAACACTGGACTCCTCTTTGGCATCACATAAAAGCAAATTTACCTATCATCCCCCAACAGACTGTGTCAGTCAAGAGTGGAAACTTTCAAGTGTTGTTTGAGCTGGGTGCGCTTTGTTGCATTTCATTGGCCATACTCTTCTATACTGGAAGAGACAGTGGGTGCTGAGCCAGCCCCACTGACTACTGACACCCTGACTTTAGGGAAGCTCCTCACCTCACTGATGCAGATGGTTGTTGCATCTGCAACATCCACCTCACTGACTTACAGTAAGAACCAAACTTGTTGACCCAAGCGCTTGAAGTGGAGGTAAAGGCATATCCACCTCCCATCAGTGCCAGCCTGGGAGTGATCTGTGTTCTGAAGACAGGATGCATTACATTAATTAGGCCGTGCAGGAGTCCATTTATTAGACCCTCCAGAAAAAAAATCTCCCCACATTTAGCACACCTGGTGTGAGTTTACTTTTCCTGAAAATGGTTTCATCTTTTTGGACATTGTGAATATTCTAACCGATAGCTCTTCTTGAAAATTTAGAACTTTTAACGAACATATATAGGATTTAGTAAGCATTTTTGAACTACTGTTACTTTTAAGTACTTTTTATTGTCTTTATGTATAAGTTTAATCTTGCACTCTTATCTTCTAGTTTGTGCTACTCATTGGAGTTTCATCAGTTTCCTTAAATACATTTTAATAAAAAGACTACAGTGCACACTAGGTTTATCCTCGATGAGACTGTCCTTGTTTTCTGGACTTAGCAAAAAGTTTTCAGACACTCAGTCACACTTGGTTAGACATCCACTCACTCAGCGTATGGACAAGCTGCTTCCCACTTCAGATAGCCTTAATTTACATAACTAACCACTAGATGGCTTCATTAACTTGCAATTCAAAGTCTCCACTAATTTTCTCTTAGCCTTCACGCCTTAGATCTAATTCTAAGGGTAGCCAAATCTACTTTTCAGATGCCATTCATCATTGGCTCATCCAAGTTTCAGGCTATTTACACATCAAATACTATAAATAAAATGCATTATAAAGACTTATTTATATCTATCTCAAATACCAACACTTTTACATGAATTCATTTAGTTTGAGTGTCTGTTACTCTGATAAAGTGTTTCATAGAAAAGCAGCCCATAGCTAATCAACAATATGAGATTTAAAAACCTGCTAAGGATGGATCTCGGATCACATCATTAGACCTCACCCTCCTCCACTGCAGCTCATGGCCTGGGAATGTCTGATGTGTCTCATGCAGCACAGTAACCACTAGGTTCACGTGTGCTGTTGCCATGACAGGATTTCCTTATTGTGTTGAATAGCAGGTCTGTGCGCACGAGTACATGTGTCTGTGTGGAAACAGGGCCATATGTTCTTCATCCATGCATTGCCATTGAATTCCGTGTCTTTGCCTTGGTGAATCACACCACAATCAGTGTGGGGTGCAGTGCACGGAATGGTGTTGAGGGTTAATGACACTGTACTGCTTAGTTCAAAAGAGACAAAGCAGCAGATTTTAGGTGCCTTCCTGTGCGTTTGAACCACAATTATTGACTGAATAATTTGGTATTCATTGTATAAAGCATACTTATGAATATATCAAATCAATCTTATTGTACAAGGTACTTTAAAAAGTTTCACAGAAGATAGAACTGAGAGTTGATTTAATACAAAAATATGTCTAAATCCATGTATACAACTATATGCGATCTTGTCACTACTTAACATTCTAAAAACTCTTGAACCTTATTATATAATGTTGGGATAATATAAGCAGATTCATGTTCATTAAGGCAACTGAATGTCTATTTATCTAATAGTAACTAGGTAAGTGAAACAAATATTTTT